ATATCTCTGACATATACCACACTGCAGTACTGAGAGCACACCAATCTGTACACTAGAGGAGTGTGGGGGAACCGTTCCGCCTGGGCTTCCTCGTGCGGAGCGACGCGTCTCAGCCAATGGTCCCCTTGTCCTGTAAGTCTTCCAGTGCTCTGCCAAGGCAGGTATTAGAGCTCAAAACCAATCCTTCCCTGCTATCCCAAACCACGAGTCGGAACTTCGTGTAGGGTGAAATGAATCAATCTTTATTAAACACAGCTCAGTATATACAGCACATCCTGGCCGTAAATCATCCTGGCCGTAATCTCCGCCCCCTTCAGCCCCACCAGACAGCCTGGCAGTGGGTTTTCCCCACCCACAACAAAACCCTACAACACAACAATACAGTATGAACTCTATTTTAAGTGACTACAAGGTCACATTTCTCTAAACAAACAGTGTAGAATGTCTGTCTACAAAACAGCTTTACAAAGGGGAGAAAACTGAAACGGCAAAATGTTATCACAAAGGGACAGTTCGTCACAAGGAGCTTGCACTCTATTGTCCTCCCACAGTCACACACTATCAATATACATTTATATAGTGCTTACACATTCCAAAGTGTTGTACAGAAAACACTAAACCAGTCACACCAGTCTCTGCACGAGCAGAGCTTACATTCCAATGTCCCACACCATTCACACACATTACTATCATTATACTTTTATATATTGTAGCTCTGTTATAAAGATGTTGTATATCACATCACCTAAATCTGTTTCTGTAGTGCATGTTCAAACCTGACCCTAGGTTCACATCTGTGCGGGTGGTGCCGCTGCGGATCCGCACGAAAATCCGTGCAGCTGCACCACCCGCACAAAGAAATGTGTAACCGTGGGCGGGTGCCATTAGTTGTAATGGCACACCGCCCGCACTGGAAAACGCAACCTTACTGGGAACCGAGGTTCCCGTGCGGGCTGCGTTTTCCAAAGTAGTGCAGGGACTTCTTCCCTGCGTGTCATGGGCACGGGAGTCCATTCAAATGAATGGGCTCTCGTGCCCGAGCAAAACGTGGCCCACACGGCCGCATAGATGTGAACCGGGGGGGTAATACCGTAAATTATAAGATATTAGATTTTTACTCCAGGAGTATATAGAGAGTTCAGAAATGCTTAAATAATCAGGGTGGATTTGATGTAAATCACTAGTCAGTCAGGCTGGATGTAAATCCTAGTTTTCTACATAAAGACTAATTCTTGCCGGTATAACTGTAATATACAAGTAAATGAAGATTTTTAGAATAACTTTTCATATTAGTTTTTTTATCTCCAGTTTAATAGGTTAATCATTCATATTTGGACAACTTTTCTGTTGTACTTAGGAAGGAGAAAAATAATCATTACCTTAATAATAACAATTTAAATAGATTTATTCAACTGAAACAACAACATTCCAGCATATGGTATTCGCTTAAACATCCATGTTTGTTATCTAATTTGGCTAAACAAAATATATATATTTTAAGACACTTAGACTGTCGGCCCCTTCCTCCTCACACTGTCAGCCTCTCCCTCCTCCTCACACTGTCGGCCCCCTCCCTCCTCACACTGTCGGCCCCCCCTCCCTCCTCCTCGCACTGTCGGCCCCTCCCTCCTCGCACTGTCGGCCCCTCCCTCCTCCTCGCACTGTCGGCCCCTCCCTCCTCGCACTGTCGGCCCCTCCCTCCTCCTCGCACTGTCGGCCCCTTCCTCCTCACACTGTCAGCCTCTCCCTCCTCCTCACACTGTCGGCCCCTCCCTCCTCGCACTGTCGGCCCCTCCCTCCTCGCACTGTCGGCCCCTCCCTCCTCGCACTGTCGGCCCCTCCCTCCTCGCACTGTCGGCCCCTCCCTCCTCCTCGCACTGTCGGCCCCTCCCTCCTCGCACTGTCGGCCCCTCCCTCCTCGCACTGTCAGCCCCTTCCTCATCCTACTGTCGGCCCCTTCCTCCTCGCACTGTCGGCCCCTCCCTCCTCCTCGCACTGTCGGCCCCTCCCTCCTCCTCGCACTGTCGGCCCCTCCCTCCTCCTCGCACTGTCGGCCCCTCCCTCCCTCCTCGCACTGTCGGCCCCTTCCTCCTCGCACTGTCGGCCCCTCCCTCCTCGCACTGTCGGCCCCTCCCCCTCACACTTCGTTTCACTTTCTTCTTGTGCAGATCTATTCCGCTCCAAACAATCAGAAAAATATTGTTTCTATTCTATTCACTGAACTTCTTGCACCTTGGCAGTGAAGGGGTTGATTCTGTATTCATAGGTTTGTAGAAGTTAGGATGAAGGTCTTGTTCTTAACTCTGTTCATGTTATAACATTTTTGCTGTGAAGAAGAGGCATGTGATCTCCGCTGAGTCACATTCAGTTTTGAGAACTGCAAAAGTAAACCAACATCTGTGATAATATCTTGTAGGCAGAGAAACCGCCCAATAATCTTACAGAAACCTCTGGAGAGCGACATTGTGAATGGATTCATGGGATTTATTTACCAAAAATTAAACATACACAGCCTTATTCTACATAATTAACAAACTAATCTTTATTTCATGATGGAATAACCTTTGGATGGTAATATATTTTCCTCAAAAAGCATTTTATTCAAAAAAATCCGATTTAAAAAAAAAAAAAAAAAATCCGATTTTTTTTTTTTTTTTTTTTTTTTTTTTTTTTTAATTTTTTTTAAAAAAAAAAATCATTGATTTTTATCCACCCTGATTACAATGTAACTAACCCCATTGGATTTTAGTTGACTAAAATATGACCAATACTAAAACGATTCAGATGACTAAAACTAAAATGGCATTTGACGGAAAAAATAATGAACACTGCTGTCAAAGACCTCTCCTTTGATCACGATCGACAATCTTCCTGCCCCCCCGTTGTGCCATAAGCTGTTGTCTGGGCACTGGGAAACCGGAGCTGAGAGACATTGATGTAGAGCACTGCGGTGATTAGAACTTTTGTCTCCTGTCCTTTTTTTAGGTGGAGTTTTTTGAGCCTTTTTGGGACAGCGGTGAACCTCGATTTGGAGAAAAGGGGGCAAAGGGTTGGAGCTCATGGATGCGCCAGCAAGAAAGAGGAGGCTGGGTGGTCGTCAATAACTTGGGTAATCTTACCGTACCTTTCTAGTAGATTGAATTTCTTGATTTGGTCTTCAATGTTTTCTTACATGTCTATCTGCACATATGCAGCAATTAACCACTTCCTGTCCGGCCGTTGTATATAAATGGCCGGACGGTGGCAGTGCAGGGTTGGGTGGCTGTTTATAAATGGCCTCTCCGCCCCCTGCTTGTGCCGGGGAGCGCGCAGCACTGCGATCCGATGCCCGCTGTGTCCTCCGGACACAGCGAAACACCGATCGTCGTACGGGACCTCTGTACAAGGCCCCGATCATGTGATCACTGATTGGCCAAACCGTGATCACATGCAGAGTAGTAAGCAAGATGTCACTTCTGACATCATTGCTTACTACGTGTGAAAGATCATAGAGGTCACATGGTACAAGGCCATTCACAACAGCCTTGTACCATGTGACAAGCTGTGACCAATCACAGCTCACACAGTAGTTCTCAATGGCTGCAAGAATGCAGCCAGAGAGGAGAAATGATTGCTTTTACAGCCTTTATGGGTGTAAAAGGAATCGGTGTAAAAAAAAAAAAAAAAAACATAATCACCCTCCACAAGTAGTACAGTGTCACCATGGTGCTAGGATGACAGTATGTAAAAAAATAAAATATAAATGTAAAAAAAAAGTTTAAAAATTATAATTTTTGGTTATAAACTAATTTGAGTTTTTTTTTTTCTTTTTCTAAAAAAGATAACGAAATAAATTTTGGCCCACATTTATGATGAAATATTATTTATTTGTAGAATTTTATAAGAAAAACACTTTTTTAAAAAATTTTTGGGACTTTTTCATTTATATAGCAAAAACAAAATAAAAATCCCAGTGGTAAATAAATACCACCAAAATAAAGCTTTATCTGTCTCAAAAAAATGCTAAAAAATTCATACGGGCACAGTGTCTGGACAGGAAGTGGTTAAAGTGCTTCTCTGTTACTAATTAACACATTACTAGAAAACAAAACAAGTCCAAAAGCAGTCCCATCTAGAGTGATACAGGCATTGGAGAAGAATTGGGGTTTCATAATCCTGCACAAATGTGCCACCAACACGATCAAACAACCAAGGTGATATAAGGATGGCGTCTTACCAACTTCCCATGACCCTCTTAGACTGAAGAGTGGTCTTAAAGCGTTTATATGACCTCTCAGGGCATCCAAGTCACCCTCAATGGAACCCAGGAACACCCTCACTCATACATATGTAAACTGAGTGTCACCATATCCACCATGAAAAGTAAAAAAGACAAAAACCTCTTAAAAGCTTTATTGTAATCCAAAAATTGCAAAATGCGCCTGTAAATAAATGTACCAGACCGTCATCCACAAATACTTAATGGAACGTGGTGAAGTGTGGTGACGTTAGCAAAAGGCTCCACCCAATGTGTTTCGTCAGCAAGATGCCTTTTGGGGCAAACCTGGAAGCTGATTGGTTTCTATGCAGAGCTGCACCAGTTTTGGTAACTAGCCCCCTATGCATCCAGAAATGAATGCCTAGAACACGAGCAGTCTGCATTATGAGCATTTGTCCCTGGGTGTAGCTTTCAGGCCCTCAGAGCTTTGTAGGGTTGAACGGTGGCCCTGTAGCCTCTCTCTGCACCTAAACACCAGAGTCTCATGCATCCAGGACTAAATGGCCAGCGCTCATGAAGCCTAAATGTGGCTCTTAGGCTCCATGTACACGGGAAGTTTGGAAAAAACACTTCTGAATGATGGAAACTGACTGCTGGAAAACGTTGGTTAAAAAATGTCAGTTTAGCCGCGTTTGCATACCGCATTTATGCGCGTTTATGAGCATTTGTGTTTAGAAGCGTTTTTTTTTAAAGATTACCTCAGGAGACCTTCCGAAATGCACAGAATGCACTGTGTCCGGACTGGAAGGGGGTGAAAGTGTCCGGACTGGAAGGGGGGGAAAGTGTCCGGACTGGAAGGGGGGGAAAGTGTCCGGACTGGAAGGGGGTGAAAGTGTCCGGACTGGAAGGGGGGGAAAGTGTCCCGGACTGGAAGGGGGAAAGTGTCCGGACTGGAAGGGGGGGAAAGTGTCCGGACTGGAAGGGGGGGAAAGTGTCCGGACTGGAAGGGGGGGGAAAGTGTCCGGACTGGAAGGGGGGGGGGAAAGTGTCCGGACTGGAAGGGGGGGAAAGTGGACTGGGGGGGAAAGTGTCCGGACTGGAAGGGGGGGAAAGTGTCCGGACTGGAAGGGGGGGAAAGTGTCCGGACTGGAAGGGGTGGGAAGTGTCCGGACTGGAAGGGGGGGAAAGTGTCCGGACTGGAAGGGGGGGAAAGTGTCCGGACTGGAAGGGGGGAAAGTGTCCGGACTGGAAGGGGGGGGAAAGTGTCCGGGACTGGAAGGGGGGGGAAAGTGTCCGGACTGGAAGGGGGGGGAAGTGTCCGGACTGGAAGGGGGGGAAAGTGTATTCCGGGGGAAGGGGGGGAAAGTGTCCGGACTGGAAGGGGGGGAAGCGTCCGGACTGGAAAAAAAGGGGGGGAAGCGGACCAAACTAAAAAAAAAACGGCTTCTAAATGGGGGGAAGCGACGGACTGGAAAGGGGGGGAAAGTGTCCGGACTGGAAGGGGGGGGGGAAAGTGTTCCGGCTGGATTTCTGGGGTGAAAGTGTCCGGACTGGAAGTGGTTAATTGAACAGGCTGAAAAACAGTAAAAAATTAACTATTTCAGACATTTTGAGAGAAATAGAGAGAGCAGAAGCAGAGAGAGCAGTATGTGTGTGGAGATGACCTGTCTTCTCTGGTTGTATTCACTATGGATCCCATCATGAGCATAATGCGGCACGTTCTACCATTGTTTCCTTCACGTAAAACCTGGAACTGACTGCGCTGGTGTACCGGGTCCATTTGAATACATGGAAAACGCTTTGCATGCATTTCTGATGATGAAAAAAGGCTCTGGACATAGAACAGTTAAAAAAAACGCTTCTAAATGCAAACGCTTATAAACGTGGTTAGACACGTTTACAAGCGTTTAGTGCTTGAAACGCTGGTAAAATGCCCAGAATGCACTGAAAAACAGTAAAGTATTAACTATTTCAGACATTTTGAAAGAAATAGAGAGAGCAGAAGCAGAGAGAGCAGTATGTGTTGAGATTAGCTGTCTTTTTTTATTTTTTTTTTTTTTTGTGGTGTTTGGATGTGTTCCGGCTCATTTCTGTGCAGAAATTATTGCAGCAATGTCTAACAGATTTTATTTCATGCGAAACCTCAAAGTACGATGTACCGGGTCCATCTGAGTACTGGAAAAACGCTTTGCATGCATTTTTCATGATGAAAAAAGGCTCTGGACAGCATCTGGAAATGGAAGAGTTAAAAAAAGAAAAAAAAAGAAAAAAAAAAACGCTGATAAAATCTACTCCTGAACGCAAGTTTGTTGCGTTCAAAAAAACGACTGTAAACTCAACTGCCTGTAAAGGACGATGTGTACACGGACACAGAGGAGAACATTAGGGAGATTTTCAGGGGCTGCTGAAAAAAAAAAAAACGCAGAAAAGCTCCTGGCCAAAACGTCAGTTAATCAGCTGCAGTGTACATGGAGCCTTATAGCTTTACAAAGGCTTCTGATGGAAGCTGGGCAGGGAAAGGGCAGGAATGGTTCTCTGGTGATTCTCCATGACCTCCTTTGCACCTCGTCTTTTGCTTTCCAACATGTAAAGTGGTAATTTTGGGAATGCTTTGTGATAAAAGCAGGATCTTTAAAGGGGAACTCCTCAATGATCAGTTGTCGATGGTGTGTGTTTTCAGGGGAGGAGGACGAGGATGACGTGGAGGAGGAGCTTGATATAAAAGACAAGAGTCTTCCCCGTCATAGGATCTGGCTGGACATGGAGTGTGCGCGGGAGGCTAGACATTTCTTACCATGGCGAGCGGATCCGGATAAGAAGCAGACGGAGGAAGACTGCGAGGATCCCGAGAGACAGGTGAGGGAGTACAGACCCTTCCCAGTCATCGGGTAAAGGACTTTATTTAAAAGATGACTCCGCCCTCCATTATCGCGCTGCAGATTTCAGAACATGTATGTATGTAGGGCTCTTTCACACTGATAGTAATGCTTACCGCCCTCTTAACCGTTTCCATACCGGGCAATTTTACCCCTTCCCTCCCAGGCCATTTTTCAGGTTTCAGCGCTCTCACACTTTGAATGACAATTGCGCGCGGGTCATACAACACTGTACCCAAACTAAAATTTTATCATTTTCTTCACACAACTAGAGCTTTCTTTTAGTGGTATTTAATCATCGCTGGAGTTTTTATTTTTTGCTAAATTAACAAAAAAAGACCAAAAATTTTAAAAAAAAAACACATTTTTCTTTGTTTCTGTTATAAAAGTTTACAAATAAATAATTGTTCTTCGTAAATTTAGGCCGAGATGTATTCTGCTACATGTCTTTGGTGAAAATAACCCAAATTAGGATGTATTTTTTAGTTTGTAGGAAAGTTATAGAGTTCACAAACTATGGGATAGATCTGAATATTGATCAATCCTGAAGTACTGACGGCCAATCTAATTTCTTGAGGTCCAAGAATGTCAGAACAGTACAGATATCCCCCAAATGTCAGGACAGTACAGATATATCCCCCAAATGTCAGTCACAGGACAGATATCCCCCAAATGTCAGGACAGGACAGATATCCCCCAAATGTCAGGACAGGACAGATATCCCCCAAATGTCAGGACGGTACAGATATCCCCCAAATGTCAGGACGGTACAGATATCCCCCAAATGTCAGGACAGTACAGATATCCCCCAAATGTCAGGACAGTACAGATATCCCCCAAATGTCAGAACAGTACAGATATCCTCCAAATGTCAGAACAGTACAGATATCCCCCAAATGACCCCTTTTTGCAGAGTAGACAGTCCGACGTACTTCATAAGAGGCATGGCGAGTTTTATGAAGTTGTATTTTTTTGTCATAATTTTTTGGAAAATGAAAAAATGAAAAAATTTATTTTCACTATTTTTTTTTTTACATACTGTCACCAGTACAGTACAGCGTCATCATATAACTGGCATGGCGGTGATCAGGGATACTGACTGGTGACAGTATGAAAAAAAAAAATATATTTTTTTTTAATTTTTTTTAATTTTTTTATTATTTAATTTTTTATTACATTTTTTTTTATTTTTTTTAAGATTTTTTTTTCATATTTTACTTTAACCAAAGTAGTGCAATGTTACCATAGTAACATTGTACTACTTTGGGGAAGTGATCAGTATTTTTTTTTTTTACACAATTTGCTTATAGCAAAGAATTACTTTGCTATAAGCAAGCATTTACCTGAATGAAATCGATTCATTCAGCTTTTTTTTTTTTTTTTTTTTTTTTTTTTTTTTTTGTGCTTAGCTGTGATTTGGTCACAGCTAATCACATGACATGTGCATGTGATTAGCTGTGACCATTCACAGCTAGGCACTAGTATACAATGGATGGCATCATGAATGAAGCCATCCATTGTATACAACTGTCATGTGACCTGCTGTGATTGGTCACAGCAGGTCACATGGTACCAGCAACGGGAGCCGGTACTCGGATCTGTCATCAGCCGTGTCCGAGGTGCACGGCCGCTGACAGATCGCACTGCTGCGCCGCTCTGCATTAGTGCAAACGGCGCATGTGCGGGAGCACGCCAAATGGCGTGCACCCGGAATGGAGAGACACATCTGAAGCCGCCAAACGGCCATTGGCCGGGCGGCTAATGGTTAAAATCCATCTGCAGTGGATGAGCTGGGGGAAAATAAAACTGTAGCTCAGCCGCATGTTTTTAGCTGTTTTTCCCTGGCTGCCAGTGTGAAAGAGTCCTCTCTTACCCCCGGTTCACATCTATGCGGCCGTGCGGGCTGCGTTTTGCTCGGGCACGAGAGCCCATTCTTTTGAATGGACTCCCGTGCCCGTGACATGCGGTGAAAGAAGTCCCTGCACTACTTTGCCCTACTTTACACTCCCTTCACCCTGAAAACCCATCTCTTCAGGGAAGCCTACCCCGCCCTCACCTAACAGCCGATCTCCTCCACTCCTCCTACCACTCCATCCCCCACTGCCATCTCCTCCTGTACCACCTTCCCCTCCCTCCTAGATTGTAAGCTCCAAGGAGCAGGGCCCTCGAACCCCTCATGTATGGTTTTGTTACTGTCTTGTCTCATGTTCTGTCCCCCCCACTATAATGTACAAACTTTTTGGCGCCATATAAATACTGTATAATAATAATAATACTTTGGAAAACGCAGCTCGCGCAGGATCCTCGGTTCCCAGTACGGTTGCATTTCCCAGTGCGGGCGGCGTGCCATTAGAAGTAATGACACCCGCCCGAGGGTCCGCAATTCTCTGTGCGGGTGGTGCGGCTGCACGGATTTTTGTGCGGATCCGCAGCGGCACCACCCGCATAGATGTGAACCGGGGGTTAGGTTTTTTTTTTTTTTTTTTTGAGTGGGGAAGTGTTGAAACCCCTCTCAGGGGTTTATTGCCGTCTGTGTCCCTAACTGGTTAGATTTATCCTGTGTTCACACTATGAACCGTATGTGAATCGCACCGCATTCCTCTGCAATTCACGTGTGATTCTGTGCGGTGCCATTTCAGCCTATTTTGATTGGGTTCCAATTTGCACCTCATCACACCAAAGACCTGCAGGCACCTTTTTTTTGAGTCGTACTGGAACCGGATCGCATGGTTGTTTTTTACCTTTGCGACCTGCTTTTGGGGTGTCATTAACTTTGAATTGACACCCACGGCAGATCACAAAACACAGCGCATTTGCAATGTGATATGGGAAATGCACAAGGATCGCAGATTTTCCTGTATCTGCATCAGTGTGAACTGAGACCTAATATTGAAGAGATTTCCTCTCAGTTCCTGTGGACAGAAATCAGGGAAAATCTCCCAAATGTGACACAGTACCAAAAAAAAAAAAAAAAAAAAGAGACCCTGTCGGCAGACAGGTCATTTTACCACCAATCTTCCTGTTAGATTATATGTTCATTCAGTGCTGCTTAGTCATGTTAGTTTTCTGTAAAATTCCCCCTTGTGTAGACATCCAAAAGAAGAAAAAGATGGCTGCTGGGGTCTGCCTTCT